CCGCGGATTTCCCTATTCTGAAGTTGGAAATTAACATGCCTTTTCTGGAGAAGGGGCCACTGTAGACGTAGCCCTGTTGTACTTCTGTATAGCAGGAGGATTCTAACCCAATGATTATGAACCATTGAGAAGCCATTCTCTGAGGCAGAGAACTATTAGGCTGGGATGAAGGACATAACCCACATCTTCAAAGATGAGGAATGTTCAGGAACTTGGACAGTTGTACTCAGATGTGAAGCGGGTAAGGGTACCAGTCCAGTCTCATCCAGTTCAGCACTAGAAAAAAAATCACTCAAATTCTGTCCTGTCTGGTGTTAGTCATCACTCTTTGTACCAGTGAGGTTGAAAGAAACACATAGAACAGACCCTTCTTCCAAGATAGAAGAAAGGCATCTCCTGAGGAATGGTGACAAGACAAAAAAAAAAAAAAAAAAAAACTTCCAGTTGTTAGGTGGTGACTAAGAGCTCCACCTCTGGCAGTCTCTATTTTAGAAATGTTATGGATAAGGCCTTTTGTTTTTATTTTAATTTTTTCCAAGAATTTATCAGGTTATATTTGTGGATAGAAGGACAGGGGGAATCATTCAGTAGGTTAACACTCTGATTAATGCAATTCAGTGTGGCTTGCTGCAGAACTAAAACTGGACTCAAAACACAATGCCACCTCTGAGTTTAAGAAATCATTACCTCTATTCAAATAAAAAGTTTTGTGGGAATTAAACAGTTTATTACTGTAGACTTAGAATTATTAGCCTATATTTGTATTTAACAACGGGGCCACCACTACTTGAAGTGAATGCAGTCAACCTAAAAAACCTGGAGAAAAGAAATATTTGAATACTTCCTGGTGTTCTGAAACACATTGTTATACAGAGCCCTGCAAATTTGCGGCTATCTGCGGGTAGCCTCATCTGCAGATCTCTCAATTTTGTAGAAACCGATGCGGATACAAATTTTGTATCCGCACAGGGCTCTGATACAATTTTCATTTTCTTACCATTTTAGCATGTCAGATCTTTAAGCTGTCATCTGTTAACAGCTTAAAATGTTTGTGTGATCTGTGTGAGATTCATACCTATGTTCCAACGTATACACCCTTCAGAGCTTGCACATGTGCTTGTCTGTATCTTTTAGACTAGTGTTTCCCAATTTTATTTGGCTGCAGAACCCCTAACAACACAGTCTAATATATGGACTTGAAAAAGTAGACCCCAATAAGTAAGGATAATAATAAACAAATGCTAAACAAGGTCATGAGATCAACATTTAGTTTAATTGAACATATTTAAAAACATTTTTTTAAACCATAAAATGTTATTGTAATGGAATTTTCTTGCGGAACCCTTACTTTCACTTCGCGGAACCCCAGGGTTCCGCAGAACACCATTGGGGAAACACTGTTCTAGACTAATACATAGCCTTCAACAGGCAGCTTTACATATATACAAAGACGAATACATATATTTCATGCAATGTATTGTATTTTCCTAATAAAAGAAGGGTTTTAATATATTTGAATTATACAGAAGTAGAGTGAAAAAGTCAGATAAAAATTACGTTTTGTAAACAAACAGGATGGGGGGGGGGGTAAAAATCAGTTTAAACTGAAAACAAAGGAGCTTAGCTGTAGAGAACATGGGTATCTCACTCCCATTTGTAATCCTGTGAGACATGTCTGCTGAGGATATCAGCTGTGGTGATCTAAGTAACTAGGCAGTAGATGGCTGAAATCTGGATCTGATGAGCAATAGATAAGTTCCATATTTTCATAGCTTTGGCACAGAGGAAGGGGATCTTGTTAATGCAAAACAGACAGGGTATGTTGTCCGCCATGACTGGGATAGAGCTGTCCCTTCTGAGAGGCAGAAAATGAAGTGTTCCTGACACACCTGAGCACCAACAGATGGATGTGGAGATAAGTTTTCTGAGTTGTCCATTTGCATTGTGTTGTGAGGGTACTCCACCTCAACCATGATGGTTAAAGTCACTGAAAAAGCTGAGTGACTGAAAGGAACATCTGCACAGACCTGGAATTAATTCTTTCACCAGTCTAAGGAACTCCTTAATTGTAGACCCCCTCCCCCATGGCCTTGTCTGTCCAAAGTGTCTGACATAACAATGGTTGTTCTTAGCCAACCTGAAACAATAGAAATATGGCCTGTGGGATTGGTCACAAAGTTGCAAGCTGCCATGTGTCCAGGAGCTAAAGACCATTCTTTACTGTGGCTTGACGTTTCCCATGAATTGTCCGTACAAGACCCAACAAGGTTACAAATCTAAAGGACGGTAAGATCAGGCTGTCAGTGAATGCAAATATGCCTCTAAACAGTATCTTCTATACATGGGTTAATATGGACTTTTCTTTACATTCAACTGCTAGAACAGACCAATGACCATCCTGGTGGAAGATAGCACTGCTCTGAAAGAAAGGCCTATGAGTAGTCAGCTGTCAAACTATAGGAAGATTAGATTTCCTTCTAGTTGGAGGTAAAAAGCCAGATTTGAGACCAGTGTTCCTCTAAGCTGCATGGCAGTACAGCTTCACAGGTGATTAATCAGCCCCACCCAGTCAGCTCAGGGCTCTGTGCATGGAGCTGACTAACTGGGCAGGGCTGATAATCACCTGTGAAGTGGTGCTGCACCTCAACTTAAAGGGAAGACTGCTTGAGACCCCTTGGGGCCATGGAAAGGCCAAAGATAGTATTGGAAACAACCCTGCCCTATACTGAAACATAGCTTATTTGCTGTGTGTTAGGGGTCTTGTTCTATGGGATTATGCATCTTGCAAGTTGACTGAAAACCAAAATCCCTCCTGTAGAGAAGGATTTATATCTGCCAGACAGGGCCCTGCCAAGGAGGCAGCTGGGGGCGGCCGCCTCAGGTACCAGACTGTGGTGGGGTGGGGCGCCACTAGGACCCAGTGTGTAGAAAATTGTGTCTTCTGCTGGTGCATATGTATTCTCTCTGCTCTAGATACAAAGAGATGGAGGAGTGCTGTGCTGGAGGAAGGAGGGCACAAGAGACAACAGACAGGCAGGAGAAAAGGTGGCATGAGGGCATCATTTGAGCTCTCTGCCTCAGGTGCCAAAATGTTATAGCCAGCCCTGCTGCCAGAGACACCAGCCACTGAACTTCTGAGACTTTATAAACTTGTACAAACTTGTTTAGAAGCCTGAGATCTAAGAATGGATGGCCTCCTTTGGTACAAGGGAATATTTTCAGTAAAATCCCTTGCCCATGTGAGAAGGAACCTTCTCTCATTCCTACTTAAAGGAGTGAGGGGTCACTAGAACAGTGGAAGCCAGGAGACTGAGTAAGGCAAGATCTCTGAGTGGTGTGTGACCTACTAAACTTTCTCCTGTTTGTAGGTGATCATAAAGTAGCTCTGGAATCATTTAAGAGCATGTAAGGATTCAACCACAGTTTGAGAGAACAGTTTACAATTGACAACAGCTAGGTCCTCCAATTCTCTCTCTCTCAAGCTGCTGAGAGAAGTGAGTAGTGATGCCCTGTGCGTATTATGGACATGTGCCTGGCAGCTGTGTCTACAGTACCTAAGGCTACTTCAAGAGCAGTTGAGACCATCAATTGGTCAGATGGCCTAAGAGGATAGACTGGAATTGCTCCCTATATTTTTGTGAAAGATGTTCTTATTAAAACCATGAATCTCATAACTTATAAAGTTATGTGCATCAATGACCACCTGATATTTTGTGATCCTAATTGTAGGGCTGCTCACAAATAGGCTTTTTCCGGTGTTTGTCAAATGGGGTAGAAGTGCTATCCTACCTCAGTTAGTACACCACCAGAAAGCTAGGTAGAATGTGGGAGAAAAATCACAGGTGTCTGCCAGACCATCTGAACTGGATCTAAAACTGTCTCTCTAAGGGGTAACACCATCCTGGAGGATGTTGCTGATTAGAAGTCATACACCAGTTTGTATTGTGAAATTGTCCTCACAAAATTTGAAGAAGGTCAACTATCTTCTTTTTGAGGTCTTGAAATTGCCAAAAACCATCAGCTGTGGATGATGGAAGCATCAACCACCTCAGCTGGAGAGTAAGATGAAATAAGTGTTTGAGGCAGGGCTTCCTTCTCTGCCTTAGCTTCTTGCTCCTGAAACATCTCCTTCTGAGGAATGGGGTGGGGAGGAAAGGGTTCTGAGGTTGTTTTCAGGCTTTGGTGGCCCACTCAGACACAAGACTTAGTCTCCCTTTTCTTAAAATTTTACTTTTAAAATGTGCATAGTTCATGTAGTAAATAGGTCTCAATAAATACTAAGCACTGATTTTAGTAGAAATGTTCTTAAGAATCCTCAAATGTACTCTTTTTCCTCAACAGAATTACAAGACTTAAAAGAAAACATGGAGACGAACATGACATGACAACAAACTTTAATTGGGAAAATCCAGTATCTTATTAAACGCTGGCTCTAAAATTAAAGGGAATTCTAGACACACAGGCTGTGTCTAGAGTGGCCAGTTTTTCCAGAAAATCAGCCACTTTTCTGGAAAAACTTGCTAGCTGTCTACACTGGCCGCTTGAATTTCTGCAAAAGCACTGACTTCCTACTGTAAGAAATCAGTGCTTCCTGCGGAAATACGATGCTGCTCCCGTTCAGGCAAAACTCCTTTTGCACAAAACGTTTGCGCAAAAGGGCCAGTGTAGACAGCTCAGATTTTTTTTCCGCAAAAAAGCCCCGATCTCGAAAATAGCGATCGGGGCTTTTTTGCGGAAAAGCCTGTCTAGATTGGCAGGGACGCTTTTCCGCAAAAAGTGTTTTTGCAGAAAAGTGTCTGGGCCAATCTAGATGCTCTTTTCCGAAAATGCTTTTAACGGAAAACTTTTCCATTAAAAGCATTTCCAGAAAATCATGCCAGTCTAGACACAGCCACATTGTTCATCTTCTCTTTGATAAAAGAAGCAAATAAGTATTTGAATAAAAGTCATCTTGCTCCAGTTAAGCAAAACATTAAAGAAACATAGGGGGACACCACAGATTCCATGAACAATTTTGCCTTTAATGTAACAGGACTACTGTACAACAAGTGAACAGCAAATTATTTCATCCAAAGGAACAAATTACTTCCTAGTTTATTTAATACATATTTGAAAGTAATTATTTAAATATAAAATGTTTTTAGATATATATAAGTACATATTTGAAAGAATGTGCAAAATTAAGATGCCAAAGAATTTTAAAACACAGCTCACTTATTTGATTCACTATGAAAACATGTATTGGAATATGAGTTTTTCCAAATAGTATTTTCTATTAACTACAACTGAATGGTAGTGATTTTTAGACAATTATTTACCAGTCAGCTTAAGCATAGCAATTCCTTTCAATTCATAAAAATACTTGCTTTAAAGCATAATGTACTTTATTTATAGTTATCCTCTAAGGCAAATGTTTTATAAGTAAAAGTAAAGTATTTGCCATAAATTTTTTGTTGAAAGCATGTAATCTCAGTACATGGAACTACATTCTTGAAGTGAATTAAAAAATTACATTTTCATAGGTTAATTTATGTAATGTTCTGAATCAAAAATTATCCAAAGAAATACTTCAGATTACTATGCGAAATATCCTTTTATTGCATAACTAAGTTTTAATATTTAATCATGCTCCAATTATCATGGTCAAGAGAAACCTCTGGTGATTCTGTATAACTGAACAGCAGCACCAAGAAACTGGACTTATGTTTCTGAGGCTAATTACATCCAAGTTCTCCATGTGTCCTTACAGTATTCACTAAACAGGGAAATAAACACAGACACACAAGGTTCTTTTTTTCCTCCCTTATAGAATATTGAAAGGCTAACCTGACAATTGCTGATAGGTCAAAAATTTCCCTCAATTCCAATTACACTGTAGAGCATTTTATACTAAAAGTAGCATTTAGATATCTGATTGAGTTATATGAAAGCTGCAATTTCTGTTCTATAGATGGACTGCCTGTTGGAAATTTTAAGCTTAACTGCAGAAGAACCCAAACAAAAATTACTTTTTACTTGTCTACTTAAAATTTAAAACATTCTGATCAAAGTGCGTCTGAACATGCCTTTCAAAACCTTGCTGATCATAGTCAGGAGGGAACTGCTCGCTGCACAGGGGGCACACTTTCCAGTGACTTTCGACATGTTCTTCAAATTTGCTCTGGTCATAGTTAGGCGGAAACATCACTTCACAAAGAGGACACTTCTTGTGCACATCAAAACTTGGGAGAAAGAAAAAAGAAAATGAACCACTGACACAATGTATAATTGAGTTAAGGGGAGAAATAAAGCTCATCCTAATGCCACTGAAGTCAATAGGAGTTTTGCCACAGATTTAAAAGGGAGCAGGATTAGCCCTCTAGGTATCCAAGTAGGCATTTTACAGGTAAGTAGAACAAACAATTAAAATGTTCAATACACTTAAAACAGTTTTCTACTGAAATTCTAAAATAAGTGTCCAAAAGTTTACATAATTTTGACAATTCCAACTACTACTGAATAGCTTAGTGGCCTAAGCAAGTCCTTAGGAATCATTCTTTGCTTACTCTGCTCTTAGCAAATTTAACACCTTATAAAAGTTTTTAACTTAGGTTGGCAAGACAAAAAAAAAAAATCTTCATTCATGTGCCAAAAATATCATCATGCTCTACAAAATGAGGCATAATGTCAACAGTCTTCCGAATTACCAGGTGTGTAACAATGAACACTACTAGGAAATTCTGAACAGTCTAATGTCTTTTCTCTGAGTGACTGATGGTGCATGGCCATGCTGAAAAAAATGACTTACCTGGAGTCAAAACAAAAACCTGCTCCACGCTCATGTAAGAGAAGACTTGGAGGATCAGGAGCAGAAGGTACGGTCTCATCGTCATCCTATGAAAAAACATGCACTGTTATAAAAAATATCCACAAGAAAACATGTTCTCTTTCAAACACATCTTTAGAGAAAACTTGGGATTAGATTTTCATCCTTCAGACTGTGTGAATGAGGGATATGAATGGGTAACCAGTTACCTGGGCAGGCCTGCCGCCTGCAGTGGCTGCCAGCTCGCAGTCTCACGTGGGGCCGGAAGTAAGGGGAGGGCTTCCGGCTCAGGTCAGAAGTAACTGGGCTGGAGCATGAATATAAAATCTAAAAAAACCTTGCCTTTTGACCATGCACCTACAGTACAAATGTGTGCCGGTGCTTCTAACATTTCTACTGATACATTTATTACCAAAATACATAGGTATATGGCCTGGGGCCATTTCAAAATTTTAAAAACCCTCTGTTAAACCAAATGCAGGGCAAGAGATTACAAGGAACAATAACATTTTTGAAGAAATAAAATTCTAGATAATAGGATGTCAAGTTAGACACTTACAATCTGTCAATCTGAATTTCAGTGGGGAAAAAAAATCCATTGATTTAGATTCACATTCTTGCTGCCGAACAGTCAGTTTTGAGTGATCTGCATATGCTGCTGTTGCCAGCCAAGCATGTCACACATTTCACACTGCAGTCAGACACATCAGCTAAATTGCCCTGTTTGGCTGCTTCCCCTCATCAGCTCTGTCAGTTGTGTCCTCATTTCATGAACACTAACAGCACATAAACAGCTGCAGCAGACACTGATGAGGATCACTATACTGATAGACAATCAGGTTTGCCTCAGAGCTTTTATCAAGAGTTAGCCCAGTCAGGTCTGTCACTGGAGAATACACCCTAAAAATTGGTGATTCGAAATTCTAAAACTGAATAAGTTGCCGGATACCCTTTCCTGGTACTTCAATTTAGTTTTGACAGTTTCAGAAACCAGGACAGTGCTGTATTTTGTTTTTTAATCAATCATAATGATGTCACAAATTTAGGATTTGCTTGCATGACTGCTCTACAGGTGAAAGAAACGCCCTTAGGGAGAAGAACAATTATAACTGTGCATATTTTTTATACTTTATGAAGTATCAGCCTACTAAAAATAAATGTGTCTTCTGCAGAGCCTCTTAGTTCCATTCTGCAAACGCACAGAAAAGTTACTTGGTTTCTGTAAGTAAATTCTGCTTATCTATAAAAGCCTTCAGCAATACCTTTAAAACATTCTGGAATCCAATCCCCTAGATACATTGAGAATTAAGAGAAAAGTTAAGTATGGAGTGTGAACAATGACACTGGGAGCCTGTTTTTCAAAAATGTGTGTCTATTTTGCACAGACAACTTATATCTATATTCAGATTGCACTGGGTTCTTTGTTCTTATGTTTTTGTTACTATGCAGAGTTCTCAAGAAAAGTTAATGGAAACGACAAATTTGGTTATTCCCTCAATAGTGTTCTCCTTCTTACTCTATGAACAACAGCTGCTTAATTTCAATCATTTAACATTTTCATTAAGCAGCTAGTGGGGCTTGCTGCAGCAGATGCTAGAGAGAGATGTTTTCCTATCTAACATTCTTGCCTAGCACCTGCAGTATAAGGGGCATATGGATTGTTCTAAAGTGTTTCAACATTACGTAGTAAAGTGTTAATAAATGTGTAGAAATAATACTCTGAACAGATCAGAATTATTCCACATTACTGATTTAAATATTTACCATGAGAAAATATGCATACATTTTCTCCAAACATGCATATTTATACTGAAAATACATACTAGTTTAATTTAAATCCCTTAAGACTGACTTTCTTCATAATCCTTTTGTTTTTATAGGTAGAAAGCCATTTCTTGGACACTTGGCATTATTTCAGTTGGTCTGTTAACAGTATTCTAGACAGTGAAGCAGATGGCACTTCACCCTAGAGATAGGGCTCTTCAATAGAACTCGTCAAAAAAAATTGTGTTCCAACAGTTTTCCATTGGAAAATGCCGTTTCAACAAAACTGAAGTTCTTCACCAAAATATATAGGACACTTTTTAAAAAATGGAAAAGAACATTTTGAAAATATAAAGAGGCCTCATTTTGCAACTAAATGCTTTGATTGAAGTAATTTTAAAACCAACGTTTTCAAATTCACTTTACATACACTATTTTATTTTAGTCATTTATTTATTTTAAAGGGCTGAAAGCAAACACAATGGTTTGAGTGACCCACAACAATTTATTTTAAGAATTTTGTGAAAAATTCAAAATGTTTGCTGTTTATCCTGAATTGTCATTAAATGTTTTTCAGATCATAGAAAGGTGTATAGGAGCAGAGCTGCTTACATATATCTTTGTTTAATGTACAGCCCAAGCCAGAAAACAAGCTCAGAAACTATACATTAAAAAAAAAAAATCACACTAGTAATCTATTTACCTTCTTAGAGTCAGTACTAAATATTAATTCAAAATGTCCTTAGCAGAAAGTATTACAGATGAAGGAGTTAATGAATGCCAGCTGTATGTTAACAATTATGGATGAGCAAAGAGACTCCTCTACCTTAATTAACCCAGTTGCACAAAGCTTTATAAAGAACACTTGTGCAGTCATGAAAGGAATTGTTAATGTGCCTTACTATTAAAGCATAACCGTTTATAAAGAAACGTTAATAAATCCTCAGTAATAATCTATAACACCAAGCTTTGTGTGTATCATAAAATCTTGAAGAACTCTGATCACAAAAGAAAAACCCATTACAATTGTAAGTATATTTCTACCAAACATTAAAAAGGTACAAAATGGTACCTATGCTTTGCAGTATGTGTTAATTACACATAATGCTAGTCAATGCCTCCTGTTCATTTCTTATAAGCTCTGTCAGCAAATAGAGGATGGAGCCTTAGGTTCAGCTTCACTGCCTGTGCATTTCTGCCCTATTAACACAGTCCTTAGGAAACTGTAGATTTGATCAGAATTACTATTAAATTCTTGTAATCTTTATGTTGCAAGTTCACCGGGTTTAAAGAATTCCTTAAAAGCATCAACATTTACTCTCCAGGATGAATAACATTTTGCCACAAGAGATGCATCAGCATTTGTTTTGCATTTATCTAGTACAGTAAAACTCCAATGGTCCGGCATCTGATGGTCCGGCACCATCAGGAACCCCGAAGTGCTCCAGGCAGCCAGACCATTGGAGCTTTTCTGCCTCCGGCTTCCCCGATTCAGCCGCTGCTAAAACTGACCAGCGGCTGAATCGGGGACTCCTGGGGCAGAGCAGCTGGGGTGCTGCCAGGTTGGTCCCACAGCGCTGCTCCTCAGTGCTACTGGACCAACCCAGCAGCCCCCAAGCTGCTCTGCCCCAGGCGTCCTGATTCAGCCGCTGCTGAATCTGACCAGCAGTGGCTGGATCAGGACGCCTGGGGGAGGATCCTGATCCAGCCGCTGCTGAAACTGATCAGGGGCTGACTCCAGGAAGCCCAGGGCAGAGTTGCTCTGCCCTGGGCTTCCTGGAGTCAGCCGCTGGTCAGGTTTCGCAGCAGCCGGAAACG